GTAGACAGTTCCAGAGAAAAGAAGAGAGAGAGAGAGAGAGAGAGGGGAGGGGGGGAGTTATAATATTCGTAAATTTCTTTTTACATTTAACATTAAATTGAGGAATATTATAAAGTAGAACATTTTTAACGTTAAATTTTTTTACCGAGATAAATTCGTCTGATAAATTTAATGACAAGTTAAATTCGTTCGAAAGAAATGCGATTACGATAAAATATATATTTTTTTTTCTTTACAGGTGCAGCTGCTGTAGTAACGTCCACGGGCGGGCACAGCTTCGACGCGCATTTACGTGGCCCCAGCTTCATGCTGGAACCGCCGTCGAGGATCGAATTCTCAAATTCCAGCGGCGCCTGGTTGGACTGTACGGCCTCCGGAAGCCCGCCGCCCAATATCGACTGGTCCACCGCGGACGGACATACGGTGAACGATGTGTCGGGTGTGCGGAGAGTGCTTAGAAACGGCACCCTGGTGCTTTTGCCGTTTCCGGCCGCGGCCTATCGGCAGGACGTTCATAGCGCCGCGTACAGATGCGTGGCGAGCAATTCCGTTGGTAAAGTGCTCAGCCGCGATGTACAAGTCAGAGCAGGTAAGCGAAACTTGCGCGAGAGCGATATTTTAAGGCTCAAAGTACTATTGGCAAAAACATTTTTAAAAGCATCAGAAAATAAATAATAATCAAAATATAATTATATTAGTAAAACATAACCGTATTAAGTTGCATCACGTAAGTGTCGTAAAATAAAGACAGGAAATTGACTTCATAAAGCAAATTGTTATTGATCTCATTCCAGCTTAGCAAATATCGTAAATGTTTCATCGCGCTCTATCGCAGAGTCGTTTGCGAAATAATGTTATTTACGCGCAACTTTGTTACCGCGCCCAAGTGCGGCCTGCCCGCGCAATTACATTCGTTATTTACCGAGGTATCCTTTAATTAAGGAACAGGGAACGCGTAATCGGAACGGCCGTCATATTAGAGTTTCAGCTGCGGCCGCCGCGCTCCGGCAGATTGGAAAAGTCTATTAAGCGGATTACGCGAATGCCACGGATATTTGGCGCGAGTCAACAGTAATTGCGATGGGCGCGCGGGTCGCCCCTCGCGTGCGATAAAATGCGGAATCGCGGATAGGCCGGTTTCACACGAACCACAAACGGACCGCGAGCGTTCGTTGCCAAATGCAATTCGAAGCCGCGGAACATTACGGCTGCTTTGTACAAAACAGTCTGATTGTATGCATGACATTCCTCTCTGTCTACTTAAGAAATAATTGGCATTGCGCTTCAACAACGTGCAAAAAATACTGAATTGTTAAATAAAAAAAAAACTCGGATACTTCTTTCTTTTCGTGAAAATTACGAAATATTCCGAACTCCTTTGGAACTATTTCTGAAATTGTTGGGATATTATTTTGCGAAACTAATATCACGGGTTACTAGACTCGCGAAACAGTGAATTATTATTATTATTATGTGATAGTTTTGGTAAATCAAAAGTGATATTTTCCATAGCCCAATACTCGTTTCCCAGAGTCGTTTTAGTACACAATTTCTCGAGAGAAATCCTTTTGTAAACGGTAGTTTTCACACATGAATGCAATCAAATTGCTTGTACAGAAAGGAAATGCCGATTGCGAGAGAACGAACTCCGATCCGTGTGAAACAGGCGTTAGCGCCGAACGACACTCGCCGAGGACCGGCCGATGCAGATGAGGTGCGCACAGGTTCTCTTCCGGTCGCGCTGTGCCCGGTGTAATTACCTCTTAAAAAAAAAGTGCAATCTGAATGCAAATCCGTGGCAGCTGCGAGGTCGACTCGACGCTTTCAGGATTTCCACCTACTAACCCCCTCGTGGCCATAAAGTCCTGGTCCGGACGTGTGACCGTTAATTAAAACTTTACTTCCTGCTTTTTTGGTTTAACGAAAGAAATTTCTATCCCGCGCGCGCATTCGATGAAGCGGACGCGCTTTTCACAGATAAATTCGAGCGAAAAAATGGGAATACAATCGTGACGATTTTTGAGCAAGAGCCTCAAGAAACTCTATAAGATATTTGTATAACAGAACGGAATAATTCAATGGTGAGTTAAACATTTTTATTGAAACAAGTAAAAATCTGTGAAAATCTGCATCTTAAATTGTGATTTATGTGCACCACTCTGTATTCGTTTCTAAAATAATACGTATATTGCGCGACATTTTATATAGAAATTCTCTCGCTAAAAATTCCCTCGAGTGTCGCTATCGGGGTCAAATGTGATTTTTCTCGCGCGCGTCGCAAAACATATGAGAGAACGAAACTGCGACATGCGAGCACAAGCGAGGGGAAGCGGGAATCGGGAAGTTGAAAAGGAGAAAAACGCGAGACAAAGTCCTCACGCGGTCCGGGAGATAAAGAGGGGAACGGGAGGGGGGCTCGACAGGAGATACAACGAAGAAATTCAGAACGCCGTAGCCGGGGGGGGTTAGTCTCCGCGTCGCGGCGTCGCGACGTCGGCCTGTCAGACTGCGCCGTCGGTGGCGGAGCTGGCCGTCGCCCTTGGAATTTCCACGTAAATAAAATCTCCGGAAAAGTACGGTGCCTCTCGAGCGCGAGAGGGCGACGACGGACAACGTAAAAAGGAAAATGAAGAAAGAAAGGAAGGAACGAAAAGAGAGGAAGAGAGTGCGATGCGGCGGATGCGCCGAGAACGACGCCGAGGCGTTCGTTATACGCTCGCGTCGTCTCACGCCTCGGCGCGTCCCCGACGCCGAGCGACGTCGAGATTCATCCGATGGCTGTGCAGCGTAACGACGTGTGCGACACCCTGTGTGTATATACATAGTGTCGTACACCGGTGTACAAGGCAACGCGCGCTTTCACGGTTATAGCGAGACGGCGGGGCGATGTAATTGAAAACGAGACTGTCGGAGTAACTGCGATTGCTTTTTCATTACGGCGGCAATTAGAGGCGGACAGACACACAGAACCCCTCGTGTTCGTTGTCTTGTACATATTACGATATTAGCGCGACATGTAATTTTTTGCCGTTCCTACTTAACTTCTTTTAAACATAGAGCGACAAGCTAATGAATACGAGGACTTTGAAGAGCAAAGTATAAATTGAAAAGCAAGAGCCGAGCTAATTTATACTCTTAATTATCGTGGCAATTGTGTATATGTATATACGGGCCGTGCGCAATGTAAAAAGTAATTTTTTTATAAAGCATCAATTTTCTATTGTTAAGATATTGAACGGAAATTAAACTACGCAAGCCATTATTTTATGATTGTACACGATTGCTGGGGCAATATGTAGCTTTATGTGATATTTTATTACTGTTCACAGTGGTGGCTCAGGCGTACAAAGTCGACGTGGAGGTGACGGGGGGAGCATCGAGGGGATGCACCGCGATATTACGCTGCATCATACCCAGCTACGTCAAAGATTTGGTGCGCGTCGTATCCTGGCTGCATGAGCCTTCATCCTATATATATCCCTCGCTACAAGGAGGTAAATGTTTGTTGCGAGAATCTACATACAAGTGTTATATGTGTATATTACTTCGCAGTATGCAAAAATGCAACGTTTTACGTGCATTGCAATGTAAAAGGCTAGCTAGAGAAACTAACTGAAAAATTCAAAATGCATAACGCTTTGCCTCTGCATAGAAGAGATTTGCTCAGCGACGTAAATCATTTCACGCGGAAAAGATTATTCGAGGGAAAATAAATTTTCGTAATTCCGCAACAAGATATACGTAAGGATTAAATTGCACCACGAAGGCAAAACGACAAAAAGCACGTGCTACAATTATTTTATGTTCCACGTACATGAGAAACGTGATTCTACAATGAAGTAAGCTTTTGATGAGAGCTCGTAGTACCTTTTAATGTAATTAAATTTCAAAAGCTTTTGTTTAACAATATGTTCTGCAATTTCTCGTTATTTAATTTTCGATATTTTATCAAAATAAACCTTCTTATTAAAATTGAATTTTCTTCCTCTTTATTTTTCATTACTGTGTTAATTATTGTTGCACATGAAAATTACAAATTTTATATTTAATAATAATTACTTCCGTAAATATATCTAAATGCTTCCAGCTGAACAAATAACGGAATCTTTAAATAACACCGTTATATAAATTCTCTAAATAACTTTGTTCCGGACTTTGCAGCGACTACAAAGACTACGTTGATACGAACTCGGGTAATATTACGGGCGAATTTTCACGGACATAGTAGATGGGGAAGAAAGAATTATACGTCGAAGACAATATGAGGCGATTTTCACGTTGGCCGCTGGTGCGCGGCGCTATGCCGCACTCGGCTGCGGTCGTTGCCTACCTACGAGAACTAAAATTTAATATCCGCCGCGGACGCCCGGGCTGAAATTTAATATCCACAATAATGCGGCGTCTCCTTCCGCAGCTCGCGGAACGGGATGCGCGAGTCGGGATTGTTGGGGACGCCGACCTCGCCGAGAGCATCGGTTCATTAGTAGCTCGCGTAGAGATTAATCGGATTTGCTGTAAACTGTTTCCAGAAAATTGTGTACAAGGGCGCGGGGGAGCAACGTTATACATGTTAATTAAACACCGCTGCGTTTTTGCATTCCGAGATTTGATTAGCGGTTGTAATTAGCAGTCACTAAATTAGTATATTAATTATACCGAGAGAGCTATATTAATTGTACGTATGGATTTAACTTTTATTCGTTTACAGAAGTTTTATAATTTGTGAGAATTACTTCAACCTAGATTTATAACATTCATCATTTCTGTAATACAGGAAATTTCAGTGTTTCATTAAAAAGTAAAAACCAAGCTACATGCCTGACTTCTCTAACAAAATCCATAATTGATTCTTGCTATATCTTTCAACGAGAAAGCTTCCACTTTATAATTTTCATTCAATATGATAATCGTCTCATATAACAGGAAAATGTTTTTCCCACGTATCGGCTATCGCGCCATTGTGTCGGTATCAGTTAGGACGTAATTCGCTACATGTACCTACATAGCGACCGGCTCATATACGCGCGACGTACATATACATACATGTACGTGTCACATTTATCGTGAATGGAACCACGCGCGCGCGCGGCTATAGGCTCCGTCGAATGTAATATCTAGGCTACATAGACCATTCGGTCCACCTGACTTGGCGGACAATCTATTCGGAAGGCTGCCTTATCGCAGCCGCCGCTCTTAGCTGCTCTAATGTCTCACGAACGAGCTCACTCAACTGCGTGAATATATAGAGCTGATATATATATATATATATATAACCGCGATGCAAAAGTATGGATATACGCGTGTGGAAAACATTTTCGTACGCGAATGTAAAAATATTTTGTTGCCTCTGTTTTCAAAGGTGTTTTGTATTGGATGTAGAGATAACTTTTTGCTACGTTGCAACTAACGAGAAATATTTTGATAACAAACTTTGTGACGAAGTGAAATTAAATTATTCTCATAAAAGTTTCAATTTTCGACATTAAATAAACCTTTCAATTCCTCAAAGTAATAAAAATTCGTCGAAAAACAATTTTGCTGATTATCTCTTTCAAATTTATTTTCATCGAGCTATTAAATTGTCAATATTAGATAGCCCTGTAATTATACTTCTCATTAATACTTTATTAAAGAAAATGCTGTCGCTATCATCAAAAACTCAATTATAAAAATACTTTATTACATATACTTAAAATTATTAAAATACTATCGATGATTGGACAGACTATGAATAGCTGGACAGTTTTCCAATAAATAAAAAATTCTTTTTGAGAAAACACAAATTGAAACTTTAATCTATTTTGCATGTTAAAAATTGAAATAACTCTGATATTTGCCAGGTATATTCAGACTTGTGCTTGCACGTACGTGGCATACAAAATGACAATCATATATGTAGCACGTGATCTAATCGCGAAGATTCGTAGATCTCGAAAAGACTCAAGTTTCTAGAACAAGCTTTGCAACTGTTTAGGATAATTATAGTCGTTAAGCGTTGTAGCCTAGCTTATCTAAGGAAACCTCCGAGCTTAATTCGGGCGGAATAGTACCCCTACGTCACGTAGATCGGACAAGGGTGGAACCGCGGAATTAGCGTAATTATCGTGCGGGCGATTGCGACTGTGCCCGAAAATAACGTAATACAGCAGGGCGCGGGCGTTATCGCGGTCGTTTAAGATAACCAACACGGGAATTGATCCCAATTATTGCCGCCGCGTATTCGATATGAATAATACCGCGGGATTAGGAAGTCGTGTATTATTCATGCAATTCTAACGGAACTCTATCGAAGCGTTGTTTCGGATTCGCGAGCCTCGCGATCGATCGCGACGGATCAAATATCCCATCACATGATGCAAAATAAAAAAGAGTGAAAAAAATTAATAATTTATAACTTGATTGCAATATACAAAAGCTTTCAAAACAAGTAAAACTCTTTTACAGAGTGCGTTCATAAAGATATTTTTGCAAAATTGCGTTTACTTTTTTATCAGCAAAAGTTTGTTGGAAAATTATATTGTAAAAGATCAAGATTAAAAATATAAGCCTGGAAAAAAAATTGATAACAGATACTTTAACTATTTTAGATAAGTTTTCTGTTTTGCGTACGACTGCTCTCGATACGTTTGACATCTCACGACGACTTTCGATCGCTACATTTTCTAGATGGCAAGTTCCACCTGCTTCCCACGGGAGAGCTTCTAGTGCACAGTCTCGAGTTCAGCGACCAGCTGAGCGGCTACAGATGCCGCACGATGCACCGTCTCACGAGACAAGTGGTCGTTAGCTCGATGGCCAACATTAGGATAGCAGGTGAGTCTCGGTAACGCCCGATAAGTTTCGAAGGAAACTGCTGTGCACATCGCTGGAAACGCTGTGACGCGCCGAGTTTTCTGCATTCTGCTTCACAGATCACAGAGGCGTAATGCCTCCCGTGATACTCGAAAACTCCGGCGTCGTACACGTCGCCCAGGACGAATCGACGTCATTAGTCTGCGTAGCGCAAGCCTGCCCTTCGCCTGAATACCGGTAAGTGTTTACGAAAACCCTCTATACACGTGATCTCAAGAGAGGAAACACTGTTATCGCTATGTTTCACTCGTGATTCCTCAATAATCTCTTATAATTACTATCTATATATCTTAATATATCTCTTATAAAACTTTACTCGCATAACCAAATTCGGATTTTGTTGATAAAAAAATATTACGAAAATTTATATATATATATCAATTTTTAATTCGTAATTTTTTTGTATTGCTACATATTACGATAAAACATTAATTTTCCTCAATTTCTATCACTATATATATCATAAAATGTATCCATACGTCTGTTATAATAATTAATAAGTCATTGTAAATATATAAAATTATCAAAAAAAAAGATTCATTTTTGTTTGGTGTCTATGACGATTTTTCACCAAGTTACACCGCATCGAAAAATATAAGTGCGATACCATTCATTTATTTCAGCATAATACACATAAGCATTTCCTAGAACTCGCGTGTGCATAGGGGAAGATCAGTGAGGCAGCATATAACGCTTGTAGGAACTGCCGCTCGCGTAGACTAGGTCAGTTACGCGCCGCGACACGTGCAGACAATCAGCTGATCGGTCAGTGTTCGCCCGACCGACGGCAGCAGCCTTAGTCCTTCCAATTCAAGATCGAATTCGATTCAATTGCTAATATGTGGTACCACAAATGCATAAAATAAATATTAGGAAAGTAAAATTTTCCTGCGTATAATGCATAAAAAAAAAATTTTATTTAAATAAATTATATTAAAATTCCGAAAAACAATACAGAATATTTATTAAATTAGATTTAATATTGAATAATGCAGAAATAGAATTTGTTTAACAGTTTAAATATTATTTTATATTTGATTTCAACTTGTAGGTATAATAATACACGACTGTAATATTACATATCTCATCATAAAGTTATCTCCTTAGAAATAGTTACTTTTTTCGATTAAAAGTACTCACTTTCATATTTGATACATGTATAAAGTTACATTATATATATATATATATATATATATATATATATATTAAAGAATCAGGTTATTAAAATTAATATCTGATCTCTCCCTCAATCAATCAAAGTCAATCAGACGTGCAGCGAAAAGAGTTGAACATTTTATTGTCTATTTCACTAAAATATTTCGACTACGATATCCATTAAAATATTACGTACAAAATACATCATAACTTTATAATCGAATGTGATATTGATTTGGTGAATAAGGCTGCAGCATATATGAACTCTCGCAAACAAATTAAAAATTGAATAGCAATTTACTTGATTTCAAAATTTGCTCAGTCCATTTGTAACGAAATGTTTTATAAAGCAGCAGAAATATCTAATTTATATTCTAAAAATGCCTGCATTTATTTTTGCAACATTCACAAGATATATTTTTACGCCGATTATGTATTATTATTTAAATAATATTATTGAAGTTTTTTTTTCAGAAACTTTATTTTGCACTCGATTAAGTATTTGAATTTATTTGATACAACAGACTGAACAAGATTTGATTATTGTTCCCCAAAATTTGTCATTCAAATATATAACAAATAAGATAAGTATGTACTCACCAATCGTTGTCGTATTTATGAACTCCACTCTCAGACGATCCCCCGTATCAGCTCAGTTCTATGAAACACTCACTCGCGCGGATACGAATCGATCGGAAAATTATAACTAATTACGGTCGCGCTCACTAATTAACACGATAGACCGGATCGTCGGACGCTTCATTGGTCACTTCCGACACGTATCTATACGCGCCGATTATCGGTAGACTAATTGCCATCGGCTCATACACGAACGGCGAATCGAGACACATCACGACACATTTTATTCGGCACTCCCGATTTTCACATATTGACTATTTGCCTTTTGATCGCACAAGCTCAATTAATGCGTAATGCAACTAATTACGCCCGATACTTCTTCGACACTTCCGACATTTTCACGACGCTCCCGCTTAACGGCGTTTTCACAATAGTTGCCAACTTGAGAGACTCGCGATGATCATAAAGTTTTTCAACACTTGCAACGAACTTCATTTCTCGCGACGCGACGCCATTTGGCGATTGTAAAAGAGATGAAATATCAGAATTTACACGACGATTCCCAAAGACACCCGTATATTCTAGCGAGCGTTATAAATATAGCATGTTATACATTCTTACACACACTAATTTAGAATTGAATATTATAAAACAATCTCGAATTAATAATTATGACGCTCGATATTTTATGCTCGACGCGATTCGTTTTTGAAGAGAAGAGAACGCGACGAGCACGGAGTCAACTTGAATTTCTAGAACAATGTTTCCATATTAGAGTGAAGCAAGCATCGCAAGCTTATTCTATGATACATTCCACGATTTTTATGTTAATGATGAACAAAATATCACAGTAGCCGTAGCTAATTATGTCTGATATTTTTCTCGATACTCACGTTGTTCACGTTACGTGATGCAACTTGCTATTGACCAATGAGAACGCGCGACCAAAATCGCACACATCATTTTTCGGAGCAGCCAACTCAATGATAGAAATTAGACTAAGGCGAAAATTAATCATGGCGTATCTAACTATAAATTGATTTGTTGAACATCATAAGGCAAACGTAAGTTAATAACAAATTATAATACCCAATATTCTTCATATTTTCGATACGATCTATTTATCGCGGATAATACAAGATATTCTTTTCAGAGTAACTATTGTACTGCATAATGTGAAACAAATGAAATCAACTTTGTTTTATAACCTAAAAAACTTTCGAACAAATAACTACCCCATTTATGCCGTAGATATAATACTTATTCCGCGCGCGTGATTTACGTCCGTACGCACCGACTCCCTTTGAGAAACTAACAGACACAAAACATAAGACGCGAGCAACCGAGCAGCTCTTAGCGAAGCTCAGCCAATTCTGGGAATGGGCAATTCCAAGAATCAACGGAACACATATTGAATTGAAAAAGAAACGATTCGTATTTGCTAGACAAACACTTTAATCCAACTGAAAATTTTATAATATAAAGCCTTCAAGCATTACTTTAGTTTCTTAAACTTTACGCGTTATGATAAAATTGTAATAAATGAAACATGCAAAATTGCTTTTAGCCGTACATAAAACTAGCAAAGTTGATAAAACATTTCACATGTGCAGGTTTATGTTAGATAATTGCTTAAAGTATTCGTTTGATTTATTTAAAAGTACAAATGCAAATTGTATTAGCTTTACGCAAATAACAGATAGAAAATATTGAATATAAAAAATAAAAATATAGTTTAAAGCTAACTCAGTATCGACAAAAATTAAAAAATACTGTGTATGTGTGCAGTATATACTTTTGTTTCTAAATCTTTCAGATATATTGCGTTTCTAAATTAAAAATGTTTCTTGTAAAACACATCATTTAACTAATAATTTATTTATTCTATAGTATATTTGCCCAAACGAGCTTGATTTTCATCCGTACGCAACGACGGAATGTAAGAAACTAAACATACGAGACGTAAACACTCCGGCGAGGCTTGGCTGATTCCAAGAATCAACGCGAGGCGAGTTCGAGAAAAATAACACGACTAAACGCGATTCAAAACAAACTCTATAATACGAAGACTGATATTTTTATAATATCAAATCTTTCAATCTGGTTGGTTCACTGGATTCAACGCGTTGTAATAGTAAGTACAATGTGCAAAAGGACACATAAAACTGATGCATATAAAACTTGTAAAGTTGCTAGGATTTTTCATATATGCAAATTTAAATAATTGTTTGAATTCGTGTTATTTATTCAAAAATAAAAATTAGCTTTATGTAAATAATACAAAGAAAATATTGAATATAAATGATAAAAATGTAATCCTAACTTAATTTAACATCGACAAAAACTAAAAAATACGGTGCATGTTTGCAGTATACTTTTGCTTCTAAATCTTTTAAAAATATTGCATTTCTAAATTATGCAAATATATTTAAATAAGTTAATATAAATGTAAGAAGTATCATTTATAACTGACTATTTCTGTATACCCCATGGTGTACTTGTCTTGCAACTTCGATTTGCGTTCATACGCAACGACAGAGTTTAAAAAACTGAAAAATATGAAATGCATACAGACAGAAGATGTTTAGAATCGATGAGAGCGAGCCAATCTTGAAAAAAATAACACGGCTAAAAGCAATTTAAAATTGCCAAACAAACTTTAATATAACAACCGATATTTTTATAGAAAAGAACTTTTAATTGTTACTTTGTTTAATATTTTTTTATCTATTAGACCTTATACATTATCTTTAGTTTTTTTGTGACTCTATGCATCTTTGTGTAGCTATGCATTTTGGAAAAATTCTTTGAATATTATTTTTCTGCATAAGTTTCTTAATATTTAATTCTGGAAGGCTATATATAAAAAATTAAAATACATATCTTATTTGAAGAAGAGAGAAATTAAGTTATTAAATAATATATTTTATGCTAAAATATATCGAGTGTGTAATACTAAAATTGCGCGAGCAAAATAATTAATATATTGCATCTTTAAAATGATGTATATATCACGTTTTGTAATTCATTTTGCAACTGAAATGTAACAGGAGAAAAACGGTTCCAACGTGTTTTCTCGTAGCTTTTCCCATTACAAAGTAATCTCGCGGAAAAGCGAGAGATCGCCGCTCGTTACCCGTGCGCTGAGAATAGATTTATTCGCTGCTACTGCTATTGCTGCTGCGCTGCTGCAAAAAGAGAAAGAAAATAAGACACTCGCCACTCTGCCGTCTACTTGCCATCGCCAGAAAGTGCCGTCTCTCGAACATCTCGTACCGGGTGATACAAAGACGAAAGCGAGTGCCTTTATACGCCGGAAATCGACACTCGAGGGATGAGCAAACGCGAGCCTATCGTTTCATGCGCGATGCTTCTTTGAAGCATTTCGCGATTTCTCCATCGGCGAGAAGGAAAGAAGAGCAGCCGTACGAGGACCTCAATCCTTTCCGAGGATTAAAGAAGCCTCTCTTCTCGTCTCGTCCACCCTCGAGAAATTACGATCAAATCCCGCGAGACGAACGAGAGATGCAAGGGAAAAGGACGGATGACACTCGGCGAGAAATGGAGGAGAAAAAAGGCGAAGATGAGTGCAAGAGAGAAAGAGAAAGAGAGAGAATGATGAAGGAGAGAGTGCGCGCGAGAAAGAAAGAGAGAAAGCACGATTTTGATCGGGGAAAAGTGGAAGCACTCAATCGTGAAGCCTCGCGAGAGGATGGCACAATCGGAAGCTCTCCATGTCGCTCGGAGATTCGCTCTCGGCTCGCGACTCGGCGTTTTCCGTCGAGCGAATTTTCCCGCCTCTCCACCACGGTTACAATCGAATGTCGTACTTTATCTTTTGCTCCTTTGCTGAGCGGAGAATTTGACAAACGGTCTTTTACCTGCTTGCGTTCCCGAGGCGCGCGGCAAGTCGCTACATTTTATATGTGATGCTATATCTTTGGCACTGGAAGAAATATTTGCACATTTGTCGCATAGGCGAAATCAGTTTATGCTGTCTATGCAACAGAGCGATTCGGGAATAAAGGAGTAAAGGAATGAGAAAACAGAATAAGAAAATTGTACGGGCATTTTTCAACTCATTGAAAATTGTTCTAAAGAATCTATCTTCAGAATTTTAATAAGAAGACCTTATGAAACTCTGGAAAAAATCTTTTGAGAAACTGAGACAGAGCCGTTAAAGCAATTTACATTCTGGAGTGCGGAATGAAAGACACTTCCCTCTGTTTGCCTTTTCTTTTTCTTCCAAGACCGCGGATGTAGCCCAGCAAATGCTCGGCGGAATGAAAATTTATTGGCAATATCGCGACATGGGGGGAAGGGGAGGGGAGGGGAGAGCGGATGGGGGTCAGACTGTAGCTCTTCTATGAAAAATACATTCACGTAATACGTTTCAAGTCGGCTATCCTCCCGACAGGCGGTCGATTGTCTCGTGGGACCGAAATGCGTGTATCGCGCGCAGCGGCGATTTCGCTCGTGAAATACTACCGCGTTATTAAGACTCGTGGCGCACGGGCACCGCTCGGAAGAGGAATGCATTATGTGAATTTATATGGGCGCATGTAGAAGCGCGTCGTAAATTTGTCGCGAGATATATGCGACACCGATATCTCCGACGTCGATATATGGTATGAATAACAGTCGCGTGCAGCCGCGCGATAGCCGACCGCCGCGATCGAGAGCCCCGGACAAATCGCACGGATAAGATTCTCCTTCGGAACTCTCGCGGAATTTATTGAATTCCCTTGAACACGCGCAACTTTTAAGTACTTTTACGACACGCCGTAGCGTGTTTGAACTTCTCCGTCTTCTAACGACTCGGCGATCCAACTCTCAACGGCCAACTTTTCGAGTGAATCTTTTACGCGACATTCAAATCGTAACAATTTTATTCACCGTCGAACGTTGCACGTTAGGTTCTCAAGGCATTAGAAAAGATTCAGTAATCTGTAGAATGTATAATATTTATTTAACAAATTGAGATATTTTTAACAATTTTAAAAATTTTTTGTTTTTAACACAATGCTTCTTTGCAATAAAAACGTTTCTCATTGCCATTATTTTTAATTATTATATATATAATATTTGGCGCTACTATTACTTTTATTATTAAATTTTATTTTGCAGATAATTAATATTTTATATTCATATTTCTAGTTATATTTCTGTAATTTTATTTAAAATGTTAATAAGAATTCTTTTTTTAATAACTTGTGTAGCCTTAACACAGAGCGAGCCAAGTAAGTTCTCTCTTGATCATAAAATTTTCATACTCTTTCTTCTTCGTTGTCTCATATAATTTCCAAGCTTTAACCACGAAAATTATACTTCTGCGGTTTCATTATATTTCTGATCTCAAACTATCGAGCGAAATCCTACGATTGATAAAAGATAAATGTGAAAAACGAGTATTTTCTTATGGCCTCGAGCAATCCGACATCCGAACTTGCTGTGATCGAGAACTGTCAATGACTCTAGTGAGAGAGGCAGCAAGAGAATCTTGGGGATAAACGCTGTTGGATGTCGAAACGACATCGTTTCCAGGTCGACGTATCCGAAAAGCCAACGAAATTGAACTGCTCTCCCATCTCTCTACCTCTTTGTTGCGCCAACTGCTTTGCCTTTCAATGAAAAATTATTCGTCAACGAGACAGAGTGCGATAGACAGAAGGAGGACACGAATAAAGTGACAGAGAGAGAAAGAGAGTGAGGAGGGGGGGGGGGAAAGGAAATGAGAGAGAAGCATTACAGTGTATTCGTTACACAGATAAATAATGTTTTCAGAAATAATGTATAAGAAATTAATAGAGCTTATAGCTCATAATTAATATATGATCTATAACATATAATGACATAAGATAACTACATCGATAAAATATGAACATTTTTCTAATTTAAATACATTGAGTTAAATACATTGATTTATATATATTGATGATATATTATATTGATATATAAAATATAATATTGCAATTGATACATTTATTGCTGAAATATAGATACTAACATGCCTATTTCCTCATCTCATTAATATTTTAAATACTCCACCATAGTTACCATCATTTCTTTCATTCTTCAACGAAATATACTCCAAATTATTGGTTTGACTTTTATATTCTCACATTCTGTTGTTAATTATTTCATGACTACAGTTTTCAACGTCTTAGATTTAACACTTTAGTATTTATATCAAAATAAAGCATATATTTAATAATTTAAAATTGCCACAATTTATATATCTTTTTATTCTTTTTTGAGTAAAAAACATTTTACTCTATGTTACTTTTCAGTAACATAGAAAATATTTAGTTAAATAAAACAGTAACAAATATAAATTTTTATAATAAAATATATTGACTGCAAAAATTGGTCGAAAAGTTGAATTACTTCCGAGTACTGTTATAAAGTAAGAATAAATCGCTTAAATACTGCTTATTCAACTTGATCAAAATTGAACGTATCTCTTTTTTTTACTTTTTAGGAGCGTAATGAATATTTGTATAACATAATTAAATAAAACGTGATTTATATATATATATAATATTATATTTATATATTATATATTATATTTCTATATATATATATATATATATATATTATTTTTTTTATGTATATATATTTAATGTAACAATTATTATCACATGCTATACGCATCAATGTGAATATATAATCAACCTAGAATTATACTTAAATGATTATATGAGAATTTTAAAATATGTGTTATTTTCACGTGCAAACCTATGTGCCAAAAGTCCAATTTATCACGCAAACAATAACATTCAATTCGCAAAAGATTCGAGAAATTTTGGAATAAACGAAATAACATTAAAATAATAAAATGGTACAATCTCCTACTTCTAATTCTTTAGATACAATATTAATTTCATGGTTGAGAAATTTTTAAATGATTATAACATTAAAATGGTAAAATGATACAATCTATATATTTCAATTATTTTCAAAATAACATTAAATTCGTAATCGAGATATTTTTAAATAAGATGCATATTAAAATGATAAAATAGTACATGATGAAATAATAATCTTTTACGTGCTTATAATTCTTTAAGACAACATCTATCATGAGATCGAGGAATTCTTAAATAAGCAGAACATTAAATTAATAAAATTATACAATCTCCTACATACTATGTTTGTAATACTTTATAAGTAATATTGATACATTATTTACTAAAGATTCAAGTTTACACCGAACATATGCTCAGATAACATATTGTAAACATAATTTGTTGAAATATTAACATATCTACACGGCGATATTCGTACTTTTCTTTTCTTTTGGTATTTAAAAATTTTTGTATGCTTTCTTCTACATGTTTACGAATATTACAAAATTTAATGTAACATTATTTATTTTCGCACGACATACATTTGTCCGAATATTCGGTAATTTTGTCACAGCCCTTATAATTTTTAATAACATGGACATTATGTTTATTTCTTTCGCATTTCCCAATATATCCAAACTTTCACTTTTTACATAATTCTTTAAAATTATTTCATAAAGTCATATAAAATGTAGATGTCCGAACTCTTCAAAAAGTATTTACACAAGCATTGTAAAAAGGAACTAAAGGAATATATATTTTGTACATGGATTTCGAAAAATACTGTTTTCTTATGCACAAAAAAACAATACTTCTATGTCCAGCTGCGAAATACGTAGTTCTCCAGTTCTTTCTTAACATGGTCGTGTTAGTGATTTGCTAAGGATTCTGACGTCTATTTTTTGCATGAAAATACTGTACATAAAAATAATATTTTTATGTTGAATTGCAAAATATATAATCAAACAGTTTCTTTTTCAAATATTGAGTGACGTAGACATTGTATCTGTTTTAAACTACAAAATGCGATTCGACTAAATTTACATAAACATTTGTAACATGTATTTCGGACAAGTACTAATTATCTGAGTTTTGTTATTCTTATTATATATGTGTACTGAGTACGTCACTCAAAGATTCACTATACAAAAAATTTGTTATATTCATGAAATCGGTTTGGTTTTTGTAAATGTATAAACATAGCACTTTATTTTAAAGCATAATTTAAAGAATATTATGTTTTAAAAAAATAACTATAATTTATAAGTTTATAAATTTATAGGATTGTGTTAAATTGTAAATATATAAATATATATATTTAAATTTATACAAACATTTTATACAAACTTTATATATTTATAAACACAAAACCGATATGCAAATAAGTCAAATTATACGCTAATGTCTTCATGTATTTGAAATCACTTAGGTCAAAGTCAAGACTGTCGTTATCGCTGGTCATGAGATGCTACTTAAAAATGCCGCTACCATCATTTCCATTGTCAAATGTAGATAAATCTATATAAACGTCTGTAATATAAAATCTATATAAACATCTGTATATAAAAAACAAATATTAATTATTTGATTTTTTAATCACATTTTGATTGAGTACATTACTGAAAGAATAAAATGTAATGATAAATATTACTAAACAGTAGTAATTAATAAAATATGATTAAAACTCACGATCGTTTTTCTTTTAACTTGCGTAGCTTGTCGACGGTCCAGCTTCATCGTGTGCTGTTCCTTGTTCCAAATCTTGTTGTTTTATTTGCTCTTCTTGTTCTATTGTTTTCCATTTCTCTTGATGTTCAAGTGACATGTGGTTTTTTAAAGTATCGAAGTCATAATCATAGTTTATATTTTGTCCACATATCGTACAATATGCATTACTTCCATCTTGTCTCGCGTATTTAAATACCCAATGTTGAGAATAGGGTTTTTGGTCTTCTGAACAATAATGATCAACCATGACATTTTGTTCATGACATATTACGCATTCTATACTTTGACTTATTTTCATGTCATATGTGTACCTCAAACATTTCCACTCATCTGAAAAATAGTGGCAATTATCTTTTTCCATTTCTTCCTTATCGAAAATATCATAATGTGAGTCGTGCATATGTTTCTCAAACTGATCTTTCTTTAAATATACTTCTTTGAATTTGCAAACTGTACATTCTGCTCGAAAATTCCCAACATCTATATAACATTTTTGAAACCAGCTGTTCTTTGCAGTTTGAAATGTCCAAAATTTTTCCTCTTGTTTTATTTTATCGTAAACTTCTGAATGTTTATCTGACATATGTGTTTCTAAATGAGTTATGTCGGCAATAATGTTCATATCTGCATCACAAATCGTACATTTCAGAAAATCTTCTTCTTCTCTTGCGTATTTAAATGCCCAATCGTCAAATTTACAGGATATTAGTTCTTGTAGATTATGAATTTTTGCGTGATTTTCTATTTGGTTATTTGACAGAGTCTCTTTACATATCATACATTCTATTTCGTCTTTTTCTTCATTTTTCGTATACCTAAAATATGACCAGATCTTGCCAAGTTTCGTGCCAATTTTTTCAATCTCTTCAATTCTGTAAGTAAGTTTATGCTTCTGTATGTGTGTTTTAAGCACAATAGCCGGGACACATACAAAGTTGAGTCTGCAAAATCGACATTCTGCTTGAAAATTCACAGACTTTGCGTAACATTTTTTCAAAAAGTAGTTGTTTTTAATTAAATATTTCCATTCTTCTGTCAATTTTGTTTGCGTATGTGACATTATGTGCATTTTCATGCCTTCATGTTTTAAAGACAAATTAAACTCTTTGTTTTTATTTGGACACAGCTTACATACAGCGGAAAAATCTCCAACTTGGTTTAAGTATTTCCAACACCAATACTTTCTTTTTCTGTCTACATGTTGATTTTTTTTTGCATGCTTATTTATGTGTTTGAATAATCTCGTTCGAAATATCTCGTTTTGTGAAAATTCAGTTATGGGTATATCACATAAAATACATATTGTGGCGTTTTCTCCTGTTAGTATAAAATATTTCCACTCGAACTTGTTTTTGTTGGTCTCTTCATGCTTATAAATATTTGGATGTGTTTTATATACGTGAAACTTAAATTCAATTGAAATCTTGGCGTATGTATAAGAATTTTCACAAGATCGATTTCGACACCGTGCATAAAAGTTTTTCTCTTTTGTAAAATATGCCGTTATCCACTCATGCGATTTAGTTTGTTCTTCCCAACTCATTGTGATCTGATCTCTATGATAGAACGTATTTAACTGAACATGATGCAAGCATTATTTCGTTGGAAAGTTTTTGGTAGGAGAAGTCGAGGAAAGAGACAGTTTTTCTGTTTGAATGTAAATATTGACAGCGTTTAAACCTATCTAACAGTTACCAAGAGAGGTGGTAGGATGTAATGCGAATATGTATAGTAAGCACTTGAGAGAGAGAGAGAGAGAGAGAGAGAGAGAGAGAGAGGAGAGAGAGAAAGAGAGAGAGAGAGCATGATAAGTTATTTGGAGGATATATCTGTCGCACTATCTTCAAACACTTGAACCTCATTGCATTGCAATGATTCCATCGAAAATTGATTATGCGGCAAACTTGGCGGGCTTATGATCAACGCGATAGAATATTCTGTTATGCGATCGATAAGCACGACAATAGAAATCATGTTGCAATATGTATATAAACGGCAACGTATAGTATATAATTTTGAGTTTATTCAAACCACATATACAATTAATAACTCAATGACAAAATGATAAATGTTTCCTCAATTATATTTTTCTGCATCGATCATTTTTTACATTTTAATATTTCTTATTTATAAATTTATAAGAACTTGCGAATTTTCATAAATTTACAGGTGCTTTTTAAAAATTATTTTTCCATTCGCGAGCAAAGACCATGTATTCTTAAAAAGCATGGTAACGTTTATGAGTGCTATTACGTTAAAAGCATTTTCGTCGCTTTCGCTTGCAGGTGGTACGCGCAAACAGGTGCGGAACCGATGTTGGTGCTTTCCGGACCGAGAACTAGACTACTTGGTTCCGTATTGTCAATCGAAGCGGTGACTCTGGAGGATAGCGGCGTGTACCGTTGTTCCGCTTCCAATCCTGGTGGCGAGGCGAGCGCTGAAATCAGGTGAAACAGCCATTTAAAATTATCAAAAGAATTATTAAAAATTATTAATTGAATTATTAAAAGCTTATTTTATCATTCCGTTTATTCGGAATGTTTCAACCATTTTACTTAATCGTTACCTCATCACACGTGTCGTTTGATGTCATCATGAGTTAAACGATAGCGGTAGAGTGTGCGATGTGTGTAACATCGATATTTCTATCATGATCTCAGGTTGATTGTAACGGCGCCTCTTCACGTGGAAGTGACGCCACCGTTGCTGAGCGTTCACTTAGGAGGCAACGCCGAGTTCAGATGCGAGGTCGGCACACATCCGCAAGCTGGACCGCACTTTATTACATGGTACAAGGACGGCCGGCAACTTCCAGGGACAGGAAGGCAATCGGAATTATTGAGACTCAACGGAATCGGAAGGGAGGACCGCGGCATGTATCAGTGCATTGTGAGAAGGTCGGAAGGCGACACAGCTCAAGCGTCGGCGGAACTTCAACTAGGCGGTACGTAAATACTTTCCTCAGGATTTATCTTCCTTTCGCGAATTGCGGTTCGCGAGAAAATATTGCAAGCTCGTATTTCAGAAAAGATGTCGTATGTTCGTATAAAGAAACATTAATAGAAATAATAACAAAATAATTCTGTAGAATATCTTAGATCTTGTTTAAATACTATATATTTTAATTAGATTGTTCGAATCTCGATTTTTTAACTAAAAGTATGGGTTTTTCATTATAAAAAAAGCTTATTTTTATTCTCAAGACATTACAGGAAACACATAATATTTGTTTTAGCGATACAGAAATAATATGACGTAGATGGAAATAGAAGATAGAAATAGTTAAATTTTAAACAATGAAGATGAGAAAATTGCACGTCACTCGAGCATAAAATATTTCGTTGTTTAAATGCACCGTTAAAGACTTAACGTAACAATTGTTTGGGCTTCACGGGAAAATACTAATAACAGCGTGCTGTAAATGTAGCACCATCCCCAGAGATCCTGTATAATAACGAAGATATCTAGTACGCGGTGGCACGATCTCCTTGCGTCAGGATATTGACCCGTGTCTCTCTATCTCTCTCTTTCTCTCTCTCTTTCCCTCTCATCCTTTGCGTCATCTTCGAAAGACGCCGTCAAAGGTGTCCCAGCGAGAGAGAAGACACTGGCAGCGTAGCGATCGACAGCCCGTGTTATACTACCTATCGAATTACACAGAACTCGATTACTCGGCAAAGAGGCGGCGGCCGCCGCGTGCCGAGCTGCCGGCCGGAGAGGTAGACACCACTTTGAAGTGGAGAGCTTCTTTTACAGCGCTTTACCTCGTTTCGCAGCTGTGCACCCCCGCTCTCGTGTCGTTCCCGCACCTCTGCGCGTCTCTATCCTCTTCTCCGCCTTCCGCTCAGCATCGACCGCTAATAACAGATTTTTCAATGAATTTTTAGTCACTTTTTATCCAGCAGAAATTTCGCAACTTTAATTACAGTAATATTTAATGTAGGAAATTAAGAGGTTTTCACATACATTAAGCTCCGCCGGTGAGAAACTAACGGAACTTTGTTAGTTGGCCCCAAGTGAGCTGTGCTTCAGCGGAGATTTAATTCAGAGTTTTGCTCCCTAAATATGCAATGTTGAAAATAAAAAAAAAAAAGTTGTACCGTGTAACGGCTATTCGTGAAATATTCGGGGATTATTAAAAATTCGTTAAAGAATCTATCGTTAATAGTTAACGCGCCACAGAGGACACACCCTGTATATTTAGATCAGGCGTTCGGGGTTCGGATGTGAGTGGGTAGTGCAACCGGCAGGGAGGAGGGCCTTTGAAACAACAATGAAGTTAGCGTCTCTCGCTCGTCAGCGTCAGTAATGCACGGAATTTACGTCAAAGAGAATTCGAGCGAGCAAGCGCCGACGGCAGGGACATCCCGGCGGACGCGAGCGAGCGAGACAAAGCGATCGCCGATGCAATTTCGCCGCACGCAAGGATGACGAAGAGAAAAGCGGTCCCTGGCCAGAACAGAACGACTGCAGAAAAAGTCATTTCCGAGACCAGAGAAAAAACGAGAGAGAGAGAGAGAGGGGAGGGGGGGGAGGGGAGGAGGGAGGAGGAGTAGT